ATTATTCATACACACACACACACACACACACACACACACACACACACACACACACACATATATATTTAATTTTAAATGTCGAATGTCATTTCTTGAAGGGGGTAGGAGGTCTTAATTACAGGCTTACAGCACAATGGGAGGACCCCGGAAGGCAGAAGTTCGCTACTGATGTTTTACAATCTTGCATCTAAGCCCACAGCAACTCTTGTAAAGAAAACATTTAATTAGGGTGGCTCACTTCTAGTTTCAGAGGTTCAGTCCACTGTCATGGTGGGGAGCATGATGGCATGTAGGACGACATGGAGCTGGAGGAGTAGCTGAGAGTCCTCCATCTTGCAGGCAGCAGGAAGTCGACTGACACACTGGGTGGTATCCTTAGCATAGGAAACCACAAAGCCCACCCCCACAGTGACACACTTCCTCCAACAAAGCCACACCTCTTAATAGTGCCACTCTCTTTGAGATTATGGGGTCCAGTTACATTCAAACTACCACAGCCTTGTTTCCTGCCACCTGCTTCAAAGTCTTCTTGGGCTTTCCCTCACCCAGGGCTATGACAGTTCACTTTGAACCTCCCTTACTTTTGGTGGTTCCTTCCTTTCAGGACATCATCAAAGTAGCTTTTTAAGAAAATTTTTTATTACATTTGTGTGTGTGCATATGTGCACACACTTACATACCATGATGTGTGTAGAGGTCAGAGGACAAATTGCTGTAAATCTATTCTCTTCTTTTATCAGTGTGGGTCCTGGGGTGAACTCAGGTTCTCAGGCATGGCAGCAAGCGCTTTCACCTGGCAAGCTGTGTTGTTGGCCCAGGTAGCTCAGTTTCTAATGAAATAAGTTGTCTTTCAAGATAGCATTAGGCTGTTGCCCTCTGAGCCATATACAATGACAAAACTGGATTTCTCTACAGTCAAGATCCATCTGCCCGAGGAAGATCATGGTCTCACCAGATCCACAGCTGGGTTTGAGGCTGGCTGGGGATGTGGGCTTGTCCTGAGGACTGCATCCCTCATCTGGCTCATCTTTTCACTCTGCCTTCGGTGTCCTGTCCCTGTGTTGTCCTCCCTTCCCTCCAAGCTGCTCTGTGGAAGCTGGGAGTAGACTCTGTCACCAGCTGTGGCCACAGCTACACATGGAACAAATGAAATTGTAGGATTGGGTCCCACGGAGGATGTATCTCAACGTGCTTATGAAAGTTTCAAAACTTACAAAACCTGGAATGTCAGTTTTGTTTTCTTACAGGAGTTCCTGGTCTCTGCTTTTCTCTCCCTTCCAGGCACTCTTTCCCGTTCTCTGTGCATTACGTATGTCTTCGGTCTGTTTTTCTCTCTTTGGAATAGACACCTTTTTCTTATTCTGACACTGTCTTTCACAGCCTCCCTCCGAGGGATGCAGCATCTGTCTCACTCACCATCTTTCCTGGCTGTCTAGCCATCTTTCCTGGAATTCCCCGCTGCCCATTTAATTTAATTTTTATGGTGTTGAGGACTGAACACAGGGTCTTGAGCATGCCCAGACAACCCTACATTTTCTAATCATATCTGGAGAAATCTATTTTAGTGAGCAAAAGCTCACCTCATTTATAGCTAATTGCTTGCTAAAGGCCTCATCTCCTAAGCCCGTCACACATAAATTTGGAGAGGGAGACACATGTGGTTTATAAACAATGGTGACAGACTTAACCGATTAAAAATTTTCAGATGATAGCTTTCTTTAGCACTGAGGTTAGGTTTTTAAAATGACATTTTAGAACCCTGTTTTTTCAGATTCTATAACAATTTTATAATTCATTATTTCTTCTTAAAATCTTGAGTTGTTTAAGCTGAATTGAATGTGATGTTACACACCAGCACTTGAGGAGCTGAAGGGTCAGGCTCTCAAGTTTGGAGTATAGTGTCAAAACAAAGAGGAAACAACAAAATCATGTATAATTAAATTAGCTATAAAACACCCACAAATACTTCAAATTATATGTATTCCTTCAACAAGCAGATAATTATAGGTTGGCTATCAGTTATCTGAAAAAGCCTGTGGGAAAAAATGGAGAATTCCAATTTTTCTGACTTTAGAATGTTTGCATATACACAATTATTCTAGACCTGGAATTTTATATATACTTTGTGGCCATTGTTGAGGTGGAAATAGGTTTTATCTCCAAGCATTCTGTGGGCTAGGCTGGCAGAGCCTTTCATAACTGGCTTCAACAAAATGCTTAAATCCATTTTCTTTCCAGTGAAGTAGGGGGCTTGTGTACCTAGTGGAGAGAAAATATCTTCATTTCTTTTTTCTTCTTGTTTTTAAAGCATTGTGGTTAAAAAATAACATAACATAACTGTGATATAGCTTTAAAAAGTTCTGCAAATAAGGTTATTGGAAAATAGCCAGAAGGTGCAGCAGTTGGCTGGATTGAAGGTGTAAGTCTTAGGAGATTTTAGCAAGTTGCTGTGGAGGTTGTAAAAAGCTTGGGAGGATGATTTTGTGCTTTTCGGAATTATTAATGTTGTAGTTGTATAACATTTCCTTTCCTGACCATGCTAAATATAGCAAAAGTATTAAAAAAAAAAAAGCTCTGTGTTTCACTAGACTATGTTCTTTTTTCTTTTGTATAGCCATCAGATCAAGTCACTACAATACAGTAACACAGGAGACATGATTCTTGTTGTATCTGGAAGCTCACAGGCCAAGGTGATTGACAGAGATGGTTTTGAAGTAATGGAATGTATAAAAGGAGACCAGTATATTGTAGACATGGCCAACACCAAGGTAAGCACCCAGCTGTGTGTTAATGAATTTGACTTCTGCTCTCCTTTTTTCCTTCACTCCTACTATCTTCCCTCCTCCTCCTCTCCCTCTTCCCTCCCCACTCCCCTTTTCTCCTCTGTTCCTTCTTCCTTTCTCTTTTCTCCATCCTCCTTCACTTCCCTCCTCCCTCTCCCTCCCTCCCCATTCTCCCCTCCTACACTCCTCTCCCCTCCCTCTCTTCCTCCTCTTTTTCCTTCATGCTTGGCCTGCCTCAGCTTCCTGAGTGTGGGGTTATAGTACCCTATCCTGTCTGGTCAGCACATTTACTAACAAGTAGTTTCACTTGTCATGTAATAATTCATCCTAAAGGTTATTGGCTGAAGACAGTAATGCCTTGAGTAGTTTGTGCGGGAGGTTCTTCTGCTCAGGGTGGTGTCCGCTGGGCCTCCCTCAGATGGTAACAGTTTGAGTGCTATTGCATTGTGTCTCTGTCTCTCTTTGCCCCCTGTCTACTCTAAGCCCTACTCTGCTTGTGTGCTGAGTGTTTAATGCCTGCTCTCTTGCTCTGCATCATGCCTTTGCTTTCTCTGTCTACTCCTTCCAGTGTGGTGGTCGCCGTGGCCAGTTCTCACTCTTGCTGGACTTTCCTCAGTATAGCATTCTCTGTGCAGTTTGACTTTTTACTTGATGACTGGGTTCTATGAAGAGTGAATAGAAACTGTATGTTTTTTTAGCATCTGAATTTCTAGCAATGGCAGAAACTTAGGAATTCTGGAAGTACATTTTAAATCTTCTCTTATATCATTTCTACTAATCTTCCATCAGCTAAAGTAAATCCATGACTATGATAGATATCAGTCGAATAGAAAAGTAGGTCCTGATCCCTAGTGAGAGGAACTCAATCTTAAGTTGCAGAAATTTGGATATAAGAAGGGATGATAGACTGGGGACAATAATGCCATCTGCCACAGATAAAGTGTGTGTGGATATGTTTAATGCAGTTTTGATTTTTTTTTTTTTTAAAAGGTATCTCTATGTAATCCTAGCTGTCTTGGAGTTTACTATATGCACCAGGCTAGCCTTGAATTTACAGAGATTTGCCTGCCTCTGCTTCCCCAGTGCTGAGATTAAAGGTGTTAGA